TATATATATATATATATATATATATATATATATATATATATATATATATATATATATATATATATATATATATATATATATATATATATATATATATATATATATATATATATATATATATATATATATATATATATATATATATATATATATATATATATATATACATTAAATCAAAACACTCGGTTGATATAGAACCGGTGGAGATAGGAGAGAGTCAGAGCACCGGAGGAGTGTTGTGAGTAGGACTCAAAGCAAACGATATGTATTGCAACAGAGTGATCTTACGGTATAGCACGTGTATCAATAACGAAATAAACCTACGTGAGTCATATACCACTGACTCATACGCAGCAAATATATGTATAGAGTGTCAGAGTATTAGAAGTATTCAAAGCACATAACTCTCCAAGGATACCACAGTGCCTCCAGATCCAATCACATGGTTTAGACATACTCGAAGTCCTTAGGGTTTTAGCCTAAACCCTAACCCCAAACCTATTGATAGGAATGTCATGGTACCTAAAAGCTTTAAACATGCGGTTTAAACATACTCGAAGTTCTAGGGGTTTAGCCTAAACACTAAACCTAAACCCTATCAAAACAAATGCCATAGTACCTAACAGTTCCAATCATGCGGTTTCGACATACCTATAAATCTTAGGGGTTTATCCTAACCCTAACCCTAACCCTAAACCATATTGAGAAGATTTCCATAGTATCTAAAAGATCCAAACAGGCGGATTTAACATACCCAAAGTTCTTAAGGAAGTTGCGGTCTTTCGTGCACATTTCCAAATAACGCTCCCATGAAATGCCACCCTGCCGGATAGAGGACAGTGTAGATACATAGGTAAACACATCGTTACATACATACATATCATAACATGTAACGCTCAGAAATATACTTGTAAAACGAGCAAGCAAGTCATCATGGTATATGCCCACTTAGCGTCTTCATTCCATTCTTCTGCAAACCATATTAGCGTTCGGGTATACAATATATAAGA